CCTTATAGCAAAAACGCCCCCAAAAAAAAAAAAAAAAAAAAAAGCCAGGGTCCAATAATACCTAAAACTAAAAGCAGCTTTTTTTTTTTTTTTTTTTTGAGAGGTTTTTGCTATAGGGTATGTGCGCTCACCAAAAAGACAGAGAGAGTGAGAGAGGGGGAGAAAGCGAGAAATCACCCCCCAGGGGGGATAGCCACGCCACAATCCCTTTTCCTCCTTTCTTCTCTCAGGATCTTGGGCACACACCCACACGCGCTCAGCATGAGTTTAAGCCACCAGGTCGGGGACTCGAACTGAGGTCAACTTCTTGGGAGTCCAGCGACATAGCCATTACGCTAACTGCTGGTCCCTAAAAGCAGCTTCTGTGAAATGAAATTGAGATATTCATACTCAGTTTATGAATATTCATTGACATTTGCTTTACATTAATACTTACTATTTACCACAGAAATTCTCCCTACTTCTTTGGATAACTTTATTTCAATCTACATAATCATGAAAAGCACTTCCCAAAGCTTTAAAAATCATTTACTGGATGTTATATTATCTCCATATGGGACTACTATTCACATGTTCTCCAGGGAATCAAAAGTAGGCAATGAAAAGTTAAGAGATCCTGTCATGCTAAAGCCAGTCAGTAGGTCAGTGAGAGAGCTAAAGGGACGTCAGAAATCAGATCCCTAACTCAATTCCTCCCCCATCATGAGATCCCAGTAGCCTAGTTCCATTCTGTAATGAAACCGGGATATCCTGCTAAAAGTAGGCTAGCCTGTGTCTTTAAGCACTATAATAGATAGATGACTTCAGTAACCTATGGAAATCCTCAAGAGTTCAAACTCCAGAAAAATTAACAGCATCCTTACATTCTCTTCACTAAAATCACAAATTGTTAGTTGAACAAAAATCTTGTATTGCCAAGGTTTTCTTGTTTGTTTAGGTTTTTGCCATAGGGTGCTTTCACTCAACGGGGAGAGAGACAGACCAAGAGACATGGAATGAGGGAAAGTGAGAAATCATCCCTCTCGGAGAATGGCTATGCCACCAACCTTTCTCTTCCATTCTCCTTTCAGGATTTGGGGAACACATGCACACACGCTTAGGCGCCAGGTCCAGGACTTGAACCGTAGTCAGCTAGGTGGGAGACTAACACTTTACCCACTACACCACCTGCTGGCCACTTATTGTCAAGATTTAAGATAGTAATTTTCTCTATTGCATTATTGTCAAAGGTTCAAAAATTGGTGAGCCGTCTTCAATTAGTCATTTCACAGACAATCGTAGTACAAAATAAGCCCTGGTGTTCTGGTTCAAGATAATTGGTACAATTAGTACTTTTGTTGTACTGGTTTTTGTAGGCTAGGAGGTGGTACAGGGTAAAAAAAAAAAAAGCATGACATTTTGCAAGCCTGACCCACGTAGGGAAAATTTTGGGCCTGCATCCAGAGGCCACCATGACTATACTGAGCACACGTGTACCCATGATCCCAGGCTGGCTGAAGCTGGGGTTCAATCTCCACGTTGGGATCCTATTGGGGGTACTGTCTCTCTCACCCATGGGAGAAAACATTAAAAAAAAAAAAAAACTATATATATATATATACACATACACATATATATATACACACACACACACACACACACATATGCACATACCAGTTTTTGACCCACAGTGGTTAATTTCAGATATATCACTTTTAAACTTACCCTTCAGGAGTCTTTTTAATTTTGCACAATCCACATTGATATACTGTAACAATTCTATATCATGAACATCGACATTATCTTCTGAACAAACTGTCAATTCTTGTAACCTGAAGAGAAAAAAATAATTACCAACTCTAAATCTTAATATATTCCAAATTCTGAACTCAACAGACTATTCCTCAATGATGAGTTTATGAGAGTTTAAAACACAGGGCCAGCAGGTGGCAAAGTGGTTAAGGAGCTAGATTCCATATGGCTGGCTTCACGATTTGAGTCCCAGACTTGGAGACTTGAAAAACACACTGGGCACATATGCCTGTGTACCCAAAATCCTAAAAGGGAAATGGAGGAGAATGGATTACACCACAGCCATCCTCCCTGGAGGGGCAGAGGAGGTGATATCTCTCTCTCTCTCTCTCTCTCTCTGTTTCCTCTAGCAGGTACATGTGCTCTTGAGCAAAAAAATCTTTAAAAAAAAAAAAAAAGAGTAAAGGCACATAAGGCCAGCCAGGTGGCATGGTGGTTAAGGCGCCTAGATCCCACATGATCAAATTCACAGTTCAAGTCCCAGACCTAGTGGCTTGAAAAAATACTCCAGGCGCATGTGTGTGCATGACCAAAATCCCAAGAGGAGAACGGAAGAAAAGGGACTGCAGCATGGTCATCCCCCCTTGAGAGATGCTTTCCCACTTTCTCTGTGCCTCTCCAGAGAGGTCATGTACCTAGTAGCAAATTTTTTTAAATTATTTTATTTAACTTTATTTATTCATTCATTTATTTATTTCAATTTGACCAGAGAGGAAGAGAGAGAGAGAGAAAGACCAAGCTGCCAGGTCCGGGACTCGAACCGTAGTCAGCCATGTGGGAGTCCAGCACCCTTAACCACCAAGCCACCTGCCAGCCCTGTTAGTAGCAAATTTTTTAAAAAGAGTAAAGACACATAAAAACAAAGGACTAAATATTTCTTGAAGAAACTGTAAAGGAATATAAGTAATTTAAGAGGTATGATGAAAGAAATTATGATAACCCAATAAACTTAGTACCTTTATCTTTAGGATTGAGGTATCTAGAAAATATTCTGTACTTTTAGCCAGAGGTCTTTGGGAACAATAGTTAACTCGAAGATTGGGTCAGGAAATAGAAAAGGTAAGTCTAGGTCATCTTGAGCTTGAAAACAAGAAAACAGCAGCAACTACCAGAGTCATGATAGCAATCAGAAGAGTGTATTTAAAGGGACTCCCAAGTGTTTAAGTGGAAAATTTGCGCTTCAAAAAAATTATGTCTACAGCAATTCAAACAGATACAATAAGTAAAAATCCATGAATCTGTAGCAATACTGGAAAAAAAAAATTTAAACTCATGAGTAACCTTTTATAGCTTTTAAGAGTACCAACTTGTTCTGAAAATGAATAACCAGAGAGAGTTCAGTCTGTATCTTACATTCCCTATAACACTGTATTACAAGAAAACGGAATAAATGATAAAGTGAAAATATTAAAAAAAAAAAACTTAGGGCCAACTAGATGGCATAGCAATAACACACTGTTCAGTTGATACTTAATTCATGTGGAAGATCACAGGTTCAGTTTCCTGGTCAACCTGTACGTACTAGGCACACATCCATAACCCTGGCAGGCTGGGAAGACTTGGAAAGGTGTGGTTATGGACAGTCTATTGAGGGTACTTGTCTTTTCCTTGTACTCTCAAAAAAAAAAAAAAAAAAAAAAAAAAAAAAAAAAAAAAAAAAGAACTTTTAACTCACACCTTAAAAAATAAATGAATGAATGACAGAGCCTGTTGTAAAATGAGGGGGCAATGACCATTAGTGGCTACTAAAAACAGTAGGTAAAAAATCTCATGTGAAACTTTGTAATAAGTGAATAATGCTGATAACATCTAAATCTAAAAACTGATCTTAACATTAAAAGTAGGATAACAGCACATGTTTCCTGAGGTGATATGACAGGAAACACACAGTACCATCTGTAAAGTATTCCTGTCCCCTCCTCCCCGTGTGAATTTGAATCCAGTCAAATCCAGCCAAATATATAGGGCAGAAAATTTTACAACACAAATAACACAACTCAACAAATAAACAGTATGGAAAAAAATGGAGGGAGGTGGATAGAGAAATGAAGAAATCATACAGATTAAAAGATATTTAAGAGAAATATCAATAAAAATCACAAGGTATCATTCATATTTATATTCTGATTTGAACAAACCAAATGAAAAAGCCATTTTGGAAATAATGAGAAATTAAACAGAATCTTTATAAAAGATAATATTAAAGAGCTGTGATTTTTTTTTTACTAGGTTTGACAATGGTATTGCAGGTAAATTTTTAAAAATCTATTGAATCACCAGGGAAGTCATGACACATTCTTACATAGAAAAACAGAAAAATATATCAGGATTTATTATATCTCTAATAAATATTAGGTCATCGAGCCTGGATGACCTAATATTTGTTAGAGATATATACTGAAATATTTAACAGGTGAAATAATTTGACACCTAGGGTTTCCTTAAAGTACTGAAAAGGGAAGAAGAAATAAACCAAAAATCATGGCATGCTGGTAACAGGTGAAGCGGAGTAAGAGGAGCAAGGGGATTTAAAATTCAATTCTCTTGGAGCCAGCACGTGGCCTGGTGGTTGAGGTGCTGGACTCCCACATGGCTGACCACGGCTTAAGTCCCAAACCTGGAGGCTTGCTTTCTTACTCTCCCTTGCTCTCTGTTTCTCTCTAGTCAAAACTGAATAATAATGAAAATAAATAAAATTTAAAATAAATCTTTTTTAAAAAATACTATTCTCTCTACCTATGTGTATTTCTTAAGATTTTCCACAATAACAAGTGCTTTTGTTTATGTCTTGCTATAGGGCATGTGTGCACATTGGAGAGAGACAAAAAGAATGAGAAATCGCTACCCAGGGGAGACAGCCATGTCACAAACCCTTCTCCTCCATTCTCCTGTCCAGATTTTGGGTATGTATGCACAGGCACCCGGTGTGCTTTTCAAGCCACTGGGTCTAGGACTTCAACCATACAGCCCAGTCATAAGGGATACAGTGCCTCAACCTCTGCACCACCTGCCAGCCCATCCACAATGACAAATTTTTAAAATTCTATTTCAGATCATAAGTATAAAAATGATTTTTATTAACTTCTATTCAAACTGACTAGACTTCAGAATCATGCAT